GCAGGCTTACTTCAGATTCAAGATTCAAGATCTTTATTGTCAATACAGTAGTATACACAGTATACAGTGTACCGAAATGCTGTTTCACCCTAAGCCCCCCATGGTGCATTTATAAATATACAAAGGATATATCTCCAAGAGATATATAACTAGGAATTACAAATAAATAACATGCTATGTTTCGGTAAAAATGAGCTGTACTGTGCAGTACAGTCATGTGTTAGCAGGGTGAACAGCAGTGGGCCAAGCACACAGCCCTGCGGCAATCCTGTGCTCAGTCTGACGACTTTGGAGGTTTTATTTCCTATGAAGACAGACTATGGCCTGTCAGTTAGGAAGTCCAAGATCCAATTGCAGAAGGAGGTGTTTATTCCTAGTGAGTCCAACTTCTTTACCAGCTCCTGGGGAATGGCTGTGTTGAATGCTGAGCTGAAGTCAATAAACAGCATTCTGACATAATTGTCCTTTTGTCAAGATGGGAGAGAGAAAGGTGAAGAGCAGATGAGACGGCATCATCTGTGAAGCGGTTTTGGTGATCAGCAAACTGTAGCGGGTCCAGATTCAGTGGAAGCTGAGTTTTCATGTGCCTCAATACCAGCCTCTCAAAGCACTTAGTGATGATGGGCGTAAGTGCCACTGGCCGGTAGTCATTGAGGCAGGACACAGTGGACTTCTTTGGCACTGGGATGATTTTTGTGGTTTTGAGGCATGCAGGTACCACAGCTGGGCTCAGTGATGTGTTTAGGATGTCTGTGAGGATGCCTGCGAGCTGGTCAGCACACTCCCGAAGCACCCGGCCAGGTATGTTGTCAGGTCCTGCAGCCCTTTGCGGGTTTACTCCGCGAAGTGTCATCCTGACATCTGCTATGGACAGACAAAGTACTTGGTCATTGGGGGAGGGGGCATCTTCCTTGCTGGCTCTTTGTTCTCTGTCTCAAAACGTGCAAAGAAGTCATTTAGTTGGTCTGGCAGAGAGGGATCACTGCTGCATGCTGGAGGTGTTGGCTTGTAGCCCGTGATTGTTTGGATGCTCCGCCACATGCGCCGAGTGTCCTTTGTACTTGTGAAATGTGTGTTGATCTTATCTGCATACTGCCACTTTGCATCTTTGATGGCCAATGATAGATCTGCTGTGGCTGTAGTGTAAGCTTCTCTATCTTTGGAATGAAGCCTTGTATGCATGCTGGATGTTTGTTAGTGGTGCAACGGATCAAAAATCTCACGGTTCAGATCGGATCACGGTTTTAAGTCACAGATCGGATAAATTTTCGGATCAGCAAAAATGGAAAAAAAAAGACAAAAATTCGACTCGCCATTTACTTATTTAAGTATTTTTTGCCTATTAAAACATTCAATTGAAGACTCATTCCACGCACTTATATAAAAACAAATTAAGGTGCAATATGGACATTGTGGACCATGCTGGGCATCTTCTGCCTCCTCTGCACACGGCCATAAACAACCAGAGGAGTCTGTTCAGTGACAGGTTGCTTCTCCTAATGTCAAGGACCAGCAGACTTAAAAAGTCCTTTGTCCCACACACCATTAAACTGTTTAACTCCTCGCTGAAGGGGAGAGGGAGGGGAAACGGGGACAAAGGAGGGGGGAACAAGTAAGCTGTAGTGCCTTTTCACTGTGCAATAGTTTTTGTTAATATCCAA